TCTGCCAGCACTGCAGTCGCAGGTGACTATCTGCAATCGCAGGTAACTTTCTACGGTCGCAGGTTGCCTATCTACGCAAATGTGCGCACCTACCAAGTAGGTGCAGGTTGGCGGTTTCACCGTCAGGCACATTGCGCAGGTGCCAGGTAGAAAACGTGTCGTCGGTTTCGCCAGGTGCGCGCCGTCGACCACGTGATGCCGTTCCGCAGGTAGAACTTCGCCAAAATCTCCTGGGCGAATGTTCGCACGCCTTCGCAGAGTTTCGCACAACTCTGCAACTTCGGTCGATCAGCTCGACTCTGCACAGTCGAACAGCATTCGCTGTGCAGAACTTCTCGACCAAAACTCTTCGACCAGAGTTCTTCGACCAGCGCTCTTCGACGGGAGACCGTCGCGCAGAGACCGTCGACCCGAGCTTATCGCGCAGAGCTCGTCTACCAGAGTCCGTCGAGCAGAGCCTGCTCGACCGCAACTTCTGCCGAACTGCAGAAGCCCATTTCGTCGACCAATCCGTCGCGAACTTCCCGTCTACAGCGAGATCAGCTACGCTCAAGCGAGGGCGGGGCCATTTCCTTCGACACTCCCCTGCCGCGCTCACGCTTGGGCACCCTATACACAAGGTCCACCCAGAACCCAGAGGGATAGAATACAAGGAGAAATTCCTTCTACGTGCACCCCACACATAGCACGTAGATCACCGCACCAGCCGTGCAAAAGGGCACGGCACCTACTGCTGCACCTCGTCATCCCCGTCGCCCACGTCGGCCAGACGCACTTGGCCGATTGCGACGGAGCACCGGTTGAAAGCCGGAAAATGCAGCGCCTTCGTCAGAAAATCCGCCGGCTGCTCGGAGGTCGGGATGTACTGCAGAGCAATCTTCCCGCGCTTCACCATCTGCTGCAGCCATGCGTAGCGTCGCTCCATGTGCTTGAGGTTGCCCTTGAGCCCCAAGCCCTCTGCGACTTTGATCGCCGACTGGTTGTCCACGTGCAGAACAGTCGGCTTCCTTGGGTCGAGCAGGCGGAATTCTGCAAGGAGGAAGCGCAGACGGCGAGCCTCCTTGCCGGCTTCTGTCGCCGCGACGTACTCCGACTCCGTCGACGAAAGAGTTGCGTACTTGATGCGCTGGCTCAACCATGAAACTGCGGCTCCTCCGAAGATGAAAATGTAGCCGCCCGTGCTCGTCCGATTCTGCTTGTCGCCAGCGTCGTCTGCATCTGCATAGCCGACCAGAACCAGCGACTCTGGTCCGCCGCCGAACTCCAGAGCGGCGTCACGAGTTTCAGCGAGGTAGTGCAGACAGCGATCGACCTCACGCCAGTGGTTGTCGCTCCGCACTGTCAGGCCGGATCCGAGCTTGCTGCAAGCGAAGGCAATGTCGGGCCTCGTCGTGGTGGCCGCGAACTGCAGCGAGCCGACCTTCTGCCGGTATTCTGCTTCCTCGCGCGACTGAAACTCCTCGTCGTCGAACGTCAGCTCCGCGTAGGCGTCGACGGAGACCGGCGTCTTCGGCACTCGCCCGGTCTGCTCCTCGTCGATGAAGCGTCGATGCAGCTTGTCGACGTACGACTGCTGGTGCAGCCACAGCTTCCTCGCAGGACGGTCGCGCACGATTTCCAGCCCGAGATACTTCTTAACCGGGCTGATTTCGCGCAGCTCGAAGGCGGCCTCCAGCAGCTCCTTCAGCTCCTTCAGCATCGCAGTGCTGCTGCTTGCGGCGAGCAGGTCGTCGACGTAGACGAGCACCCAGCACGCCACTCCGTCGTCGCCGACCTTGAAGTAGAGTGCCTCGTCGACCTGACTCTTCTGCCAGCCAGCGCCCGTCAGCACCGTGTCGAGCGCCGAGTACCACAGCAGCGGACTCTGCTTCAGCCCGTACAAGCTCTTCAGCAGCTTGCAGACGCGACCGGTTCCGTCGTTGTAGTAATCGGACTGATACATGTAGAGGACGCGATCCAGCTTACTCTGCAGAAACGCGTTTTTCATGTCCAGCTGCATCAGGTGCAGGTCGAGGACTGCTACAATGCTGAGAAAGATTCGCAGAGTCACGTAGCTCCCCATTGGCGCGTACATTTCTTCGTAGTCTGCGCCGTAGACCTGCGTAAAGCCTTTCACCACCAGACGCGCCTTCTCGTGAGCGACCGTATCGTCGACGTGGTACTTCGTCGTGAGCACCCAGCGGTTCTTCATGATGTTGACACCGCGCGGACGCTCAACAAGCTCCCACGTTCCGTTGGAGATGAGACTCTTGATCTCTTCGTCCATGGCCGCTTTCACCGCATTGCCCTTCCAGCTCGCCAACGCCTCCTTCACCGTCATGTTGGCGATGTCCCAGCGATGGTCCGGATCGGCGTGCATGTCGGGGTCGAGCTCGGGCAGAACAACGTCGTCCTGCGCGTCGTCGAGCAGAGTGCTGTAGGAGGTTGGTGGCAGACAAGCGTGGTAGCTCAGCTTCTCCGGCGGCTTGCCGATGTTGGAGCGGGCAGACCGTCGCAGTTTCGCCTCTTCGACCGCGACCTCTACCACGTCGCTGTCGTCGGACTGCTCCCCTGTCGATCGCTCCTCTTCACCGCCATCGTCCGCACCGACGACTTCCACAACGTCGTCGCTCGACGAGTCGTCGTCGAACTGCTCCCCTGGCGGCAGCTCCTCTACCAGCTGCTCCCCCATGATCAGCTTCTCTGCCGACGGCTCCCCTGAAGCTGGCGCCTCTGCCGCTGCCTTCTCCGAAGTCGGCGTCGACGCAGACAACTTCCCTGTCATCTGCCGCTGCCCGTCTACGACCTTCTCTGCGTCACGTCGGCCACCGCCGATGCAACCGGTCGGCGCAGCAGGCGACGCACCGAGTCTCCCCTCATCGCCGGCGGCCGACGAGCAGCCCTGCACAAGGGTGTCGACGACGGGCGGGGGAGGGGAGGGCGACGGACTCGCCGACGGGGAAACAGTGGGGAGGGGGACTTCGACGACGTCCTCGTCATCATGCTCGTCATCGTCGGCGAGCAACGGGGGCGCCGTCGAGGAGGGATCTGGCGGTGGGGCAGAAGGCGTCCTCGTCGACGCCGGCCCGTACTCCGCCTTCCACTTCTCCATCGACAGGTTTTCGTAGAAGACTAGAATGGCATGGAACTCCTAGCAAGGGCGAACTCTGCCAGCGCAGCAGAAGAGCGGCTTGCCAACGCTGCAGCAGAGGAGTCTGCCAGCGTTGCACTGCGCGCGGTCTGCCAGCACTGCAGTCGCAGGTGACTATCTGCAATCGCAGGTAACTTTCTACGGTCGCAAGTTGCCTATCTGCGCAGATGTGCGCACCTACCAAGTAGGTGCAGGTTGGCGGTTTCACCGTCAGGCACATTGCGCAGGTGCCAGGTAGAAAACGTGTCGTCGGTTTCGCCAGGTGCGCGCCGTCGACCACGTGATGCCGTTCCGCAGGTAGAACTTCGCCAAAATCTCCTGGGCGGACAAAAATAAAACCCATTCGGGCCTGGCATGCGTTAGGGAGGCATCAACCCTAAACACCTTGCCTCTATGCGTTTAGGGTTGATGCATCCCTAACGCATGCCTTTCCCGTAGGGGTTTTATTTTTTCCCGCGGGCAAGGCAGTACATGTGATCCACTAGATTTCACTTAAAAATTGTGGGAACAATAAAACAATTCGCGGTTCCCACGATCAAAGGGATGCCACGTGGCGAAAATAAAACAAACCGCGGTTCCACGAAAATGAGCAAAACTCTCTCATCCGAGTCACGTGCGACGACCCAGGCACGTGGAACCGCAACTGCCACTCATCGAGTTCGCGTACAATAGTTCTCCATCCGCCACGACCCAACAGTCACCATTCTATCTGAATTACGAACAAGACCCGACTGTACCCATGACGCCGAATCCCGACAACCTATACCACGTGCGCAGCAGTTCGCCGAGATTTTACAAGCAGCACGGATCCGGGCAGCAGACGCAATTAAGAAATCAAACGTCATCGTTAAACGCAACGCCGACCGCCACCGCTGTCCCGTTACTTACCAGCCCGACGACCTAGTCCTGCTCGACACCCAAAACCTCCGCCTACCTATTACCCCAAAACTCCGCCCTCGATATTGCGGGTCATTTCACATCAGCTACATGATCACCCCCGTTACCGCCCACCTCCTCCTCCCCCGGACTGGTACGTCAGCCCGTCATTCCATGTCAGCCTGCTTCGCCCCTACGTACTGACCACAAGCCAACTGCCTCGCCACCGCACAACTAGCATGACACGACCACCCACCGAGCCAATCATCACACCTGAGAAGATTATGAGCCAATGAGTTCGTGACCCACGTGGAGCTCACAGGATCGAGTTCATGATCCGCTGAAAAGACCGCACACCGACCGACGAGAACTGGGTTCCTCTGGACAAAGTTGAAAGCCACCCCGTCCGCACCGACTATCTGCGCAGCCGCAATTTCCGAGATGTACACACACTCTCGTAAGGAGGGCCTCCTTAGAGGGGGGGGGGGGGGGGGGGGGGGGGGGGGGGGGGGGGGGGGGGGGTAGTGTAAGGAAATTTTCTTCCCTTACGCCACATCCGTGCTTTGCGCGTACATTTCTGTTCTAGCCACACTCGACACTGTTACCACTCGCGACACTCGCCTCGACTATTTCCTGCCACCTCAACCCAACCTCACGGCTCGGCTGGTAACCCGCGCTCCGGGCCTCCGCTTCGACACTTCCCGACCTCAGTCCCAACCTCGGTCCCAGGCCCGTCGCTCGTCACCCATAGTTCATTACCGTTACCACTGTCGCGTTTGCTATTTAGCTCTCGCTCATTCCTTCGCTCATTGTATTGTTTTGCTTCGATAGTGCAATTCTCGCTCGCTCGCTCAATTGCACTCGTAATAGTTAGTTATCAATTACGTGCATCTTTGTAGATTCTAAGGCCTCAGATTACCTATCCCCTTTCACCACCTCGACGCGGCAACCTCTCCCGCCTTTCGAGTTGTGTGCGGTGTGAGTCCGCATCGCCATGGCGCAGCCTCGGCAACCGCAGCAGCGGAGCGAGTTGGATGACAGAATGCGCGCGGACGAGGCGGCGCGGCAGCTGCCAATTCTGGAGTTCGAGGAGGCCATCCTCAGCGCCGTCGCGGCGCACCCCGTGACGGTCGTCATCGGCGCCACGGGATCCGGTGAGCGCGCTCTCGCTCGCCGCTCCCCCATTCGCCTTCCGCGTGCTCGTCTGTCCGCCGCGGTTGCGGTAGAATTCAGCACCGATGGGCACAGCTCGCGGCATGCAACAGCGGCGTAGAGACGGCTAGGTACGGGAGCCACGTGTGCCGGGTTCCATGCCATGCCAGCACATGCCAGCGACGGATTCAACCTCTCGTGCCACCCCGTCCCCCGTGCTGCCCCCAGGCAAGAGTACGCAGCTCCCGCAGATGCTGTACCGCGCGCAGTTGCGCCAAGCGGGGGAGCCGCCAGCGGAAGGGGAGAAGGCACGCGGCATCGGGCCGCGCGCCATTGCCGTGACGCAACCGCGCAGAGTGGCGGCCGTGTCGGTGGCCAGGTGAGGACGCGCGGGTGGGGGTAGGGAATGTACGGTTGGGGATGGGGGAACGCAGCGACTGAGTGGCGGATAGCTGCTGTCAGCGCACAGCACAAGCCTGCCTGCGCCACACCCCTGCCCGTGTATGTATGCATACATGCGCTGTGCCAAACCGGGCCGCCGCCATGCATGCGCACATGACTGCTCTCGCCTGTCCTACCCGTGCCTCTCTGCCGCCCCGTGTGCTGCGTGCCCCTTAGGCGAGTGGCGGAGGAGCTGGGTGTGGCGCTGGGCGGCGAGGTGGGGTACGTGGTGCGGTTTGAGGACCGCAGCACTGCCGCCACGCGCATTGTGTTTCAGACGGACGGCTGCCTGCTCAGGGAGCTGCTGGGCGACCCACTGCTCAGCCGCTACTCCGTCATCGTGCTGGACGAGGCGCACGAACGCAGCCTCAACACGTACGCGCTCGTGCCCACTCGCTCGCTGCCTCGTTGCCTGCTGGCTTGCTTGCTTTCGCTGCATCCTCTCTCTTGCTGCGTCGCAGCAACAGCAGTGTTGCTTGCTCGCTCCCTCTCTCGCGCCCCTCGATGTGCCACCGTCCAAATCCTGGGCTGGGCTCTTTTGCTTTCCTGTGCTGCCAACTCACATCACAAGCACCTCCCACTGTTTCCTTCCCCCACCACGTGACCTGCTGTTCCCGTGTGCCCCCCCGCGGCACAGCGACATCCTGTTTGGGCTGCTGAAGCGCCTGCTGGCCGTGCGCAAGGACGACCTGAAGCTGCTCGTGACGTCAGCCACGCTGGACGGCAACAAGTTCTCGGCCTTCTTCGGGCAGTGCCCCGTGGTGGAGGTGCCTGGTCGCCTGCACCCCGTGCAGGTGCTCTACAGCACCGACCGCCCCGCCAGCTACTTCCAGTCCGCCATCGAGACTGCCATTGGTGCGTACAGTGCCGTGCTCTGCCCTGCCCTGCCCTGCCAGCGGTGGGCATGGGGGAGCAGGGAAGGAGTGGATGGATGTGAAGCTCTTGGTTGCCTCGTGCTCTTCCCTGGCTGGACCGGTATCATCAGCTGTTTGCTGCATGCTCTTCTTCTTCGTTGGCAGACATCCACATGGGGTCGGAGCCGGGCGACATTCTGGTGTTTCTGACGGGGCAGGACGAGATAGAGCGCGCGGTGGCGGCCATGGAGGAGCGCATTCGCAGCAGCGAGCACGGGCACTGCATGGACGCGCTCATCCTGCCGCTGCACGCCTCGCTGCCGCCTGAACTGCAGGTGCTCACCACCCCATCGTGTCGTACACGTGGGGCTGGGGCGTGCGGGATGCACTGCTGGGCACTGTGGTGTAGCAGTGGGATGGAAAGTCGTCACGGTACACGTTGGGTTGCCTGCACTGCAACGCTTTGTGCCACTTTCATGCACCTGCCCCCCCTCCCTCACACACACCATGCAATTTCTGCCACCAGCCGTCCGTCCGCCTCCATCTAACCCTCTCCTCCCTCTCTCCCCCTGCCCAGGTGCGGGTGTTCACGCCAGCGCCCCCGGGGTGTCGGCGCATCATAGTGGCAACGAACGTGGCGGAGACAGCGGTGACACTGGACGGCATAGTGTTTGTGGTGGACCCGGGGCACGTCAAGCAGAAGCAGTACGACCCCAACACTCAGCTCGCTGCACTCACCGTCGTGCCCATCAGCAGGTGCGTGCGTGGGTTGCGCTCGCAAGCGAGTTGACTGGGTGTGGACATGGGATGGGAGTGTGTGGTGTGGTGGGCACATGCTGTGGCGTCCCTGCAGCCTGCAGGTGCAGGTGGAGAGAACCACGCGCGCATGCAAGACTAAGCAAACACGTGATCGCTGCTGTCACCATCCCTTTCCCCCTCTCCCCTTTCCCCCTCCGCAAAAGAGTGCAGGCGATCCAGCGGGCGGGGAGGGCAGGGCGCACGAGGCCGGGCAAGTGCTACCGCCTGTACCCCAAGTCCGTGTTCGAGCACGAGTTGCCACCTGCCACCGAGCCTGAGATCTGCCGCTCCTCCCTCGCAGGTCTGCTGCCTGCTCTGCTGCCAGTGCCTGCTGTTGCTCGTCTCGGCACCTTGCTCTGCTGCACAACTCCCGCTTGCTGTTACTCGCATGTCTATGAAGCACAACCAACTGAATAATCCCCACCGACCTCATGCTCCTCCCATGCTATCGTTGCTCCACCGTCCCTGCCATGCCTCTCCCTTTCTCTCTGCTCCGCCCCCTCGTCAGGCACGGTGCTGCACCTGAAGTCGCTCACGCGCCTGGATGCTGTCCACAGGAAGCGACGGGACTCTCAACAAGACAGCGACGCACAGGCAGGAGAGGGGGGATCAGCAGGGGAGGAGGCAGGCGGCATCGGCGACGTGCTGTCGTTTGAGTTCCTGGACCCGCCATCGCGCTCGGCCCTAGAGGACGCGCTGCTGCAGCTGTACGCGCTGCGCTGCATTGACGAGCGCGGCGCCATCACGCCCACCGGCAGGGATGTGGCACGCCTGCCACTGGACCCCTCTCTGGGCGTCACTCTGCTGGCCGCGCGGTCGCTGGGGTGCCTGCCGGACGCCATTGCCGTCGCCGCCATGCTCTCCGCTGATGTCACTGCGCCCTCAGGAGGAGGGAAGGATGGGGGCAGGCGAGGAGGAGGAGGGCGGGGAGGAGGTGGAGAGGGGAATTTGGTGGCGCTGCCGGATGGGGATGGGTATGGCGATCACATACGGTGGTTGCAGGTGTACCGAGGGTGGGAGGCATCGGGATTCCAGGCGTCCTGGTGCAAGCAACGAGGCCTGCAGGTGTGCCACCATGCATTGCCTCCTTACGCCCTCGGGGGTCTGCCGCTTGCTACTTTTGTCCACTCGTAAACAGGTAGCTCGAAACTATTTTCTAGCCATTCGCAAATTGGCTGCCGGATTCCTCAAGTGAGTAACTGAGCTTGCATAATTTCCAACGCAGAGTCCTAGTTGTGCAAGAACTTGGAGTTAGAAGTTTGTGAGACGCAGTGACACAGTTTTGTGCACAGTCTTTCGTTCCCAAGCATAGTTGTCACGCCCTCCTTTGCATAGCCTTTCCTTTCTTATTCGCGTAAGTGGTTTGCCACTAAGCATCCAACCCACACCCCTCCAACTCGCCCTACTCCCTGTTTTCCGTGCCTCTCAGCTCAGGTCCATGAACTTTGCACGGGACGTGGCTCGCCAGCTCACTGCTGCTGTCTCCGCGCACTCCTCCCGCACCAACAGCTCATCCGCTCACCCACCCACTTCCAAAGAGGGTAGAGACGTGAGAAGTGGCAAGGCAGAAGGGGCAGGTGGGGATTTGGAGGGCAGCAGAGATGGCTGGGCGGCGCTGAGGCACGCCCTGACTGTGGGGTCGGCCAACAAGCTTGCACGGCGCATGCGGCAGCACAATGGGTACAAGACCGTGCACGCCAAGTCACGCCTCGTTGAGGTCAGCCGCACTCACGGTGCTTGTGAGCCCAGTGCTGTCCTCCCTTTCTTGCCTCTTCCGTCGTCCCCATTTCCAGCTCTGCCGTTGGCCCTCTCTTTCAGGTCTGCATTGTCCCCCTCACTCCGCTTCTTTTTCTCTGCTGTGCACATGTCTCGACCCCGACACTACAATCCGCCCACTCCTTTACTGCACGCTCCTCTCCCGCCCCCAGCTACACCCAGCGAGTGCACCGCTGGCAGTGGATGAGGAGGGGCTGCTGCCGGAGTGGGTGGTGTACCAGGAGATAGTGGCCACCACACGTGCCTTCATGCGCTGTGTGTGTGCCGTGGAGGAGCCCTGGGTGCAGCCGCTGCTGCCGCGCCTGCATGATGTGGACGTCACCCGCCTCAGGTACGCCCTGCATGCACCACTCCTAGGCCCGGCCAACAAAAGGTGGGGAGGGGGGTGAGGCCGGGGGTTCAGGGGGGAGGATTTTCTTAACCCTATAGATTGGGCTGCATGGTCTGGGATTCCACCCAATCTGGCAACGACAGCATGGCAAAGCTGTGAGGTCACGTCACCATCTTACCCTCGTGTTGTTCATTCCTTTGGCAGTGGTGGAGACACGGCAGCAGCTGCTGCGAAAGAGAAACAAGCTAAGGAATCAGCTGCTCAAACAGCAGGTGTTGGCAAGGCAGCACAAAGCACAGGAGGTTCAGTTGTTTCTGCTCCAGCTAAGGCTGCAACTGTGGATGCAGCACGAGCCAGGTACCTTGCAAGGAAGAAGTCTAAGCTGGGGTAGTACGTATCGTAGAACTTGGATCTTAGTCATCATGGAGGTACCATATTTGTACGGTATTTGGTGTGCATAATGTACCGGTAGCATAAAATGACTTCTATATACTGTCAAACATATGTGCTGCATATTGTCTAGGCTGTAGTGGGGTAGCCCACATGGGGTACAACCCAATTAGGGTTTACTACTTGTACTCCTGCATGCTGCTAGTTCATTCATTCCTGCTGCTAGATTCTGACATGGTTTCAGAGCACTAAGGTCCGTAGGACCATTTTTTTTCGGGCCCACCTACCGCTGCGGTTACCGCGCTACCCCACGTAGCCTTGCCTTGCCTTGCCTTGCCTTGCCTTGCCTTGCCTTGCCTGCGCGCTGCCCCTAGAGGCCCGTAAGGCCCGCCCACACGCTGCTACAGCGCGCTGCCCGCACCGACACCGCGCAGCCCGCACCGAGTCGCGCGCAGCCCGCTGCAGCCACGCACAGCCTGCACCGAGCCGCGCGCAGCCCGCTGCAGCCGCGCGCAGCCTGCACCGAGCCGCGCACAGCCCGCTGCAACCGCGCGCAGCCCGCACCGAGCCGCGCGCAGCTCGCAGCTGCCGCGCGCAGCCCGCGCCGAGCCCGCGCAGCCCGCGTCGAGCCGCGCGCGGCCTGCTACGGCCTCGCGAGGCCCGCGCGCGGCCCGCAGCAGCCCGCGCCGAGCCGCGCGAGGCCTGCTCCTGCCTCGCACGGCCCGCGCGCGGCCCGCAACAGCCCGCGCCGAGCCGCGCGCGGCCCGCTACTCCCTAGCGCGGCCGCGCGCGGCCCTTTGCCTCGGCCCCGACCTGCTGCTGTTGCGACCCCGCCCAGCAGCTGCCATGGCCTCCACCTGCCGCTGACGCGGCCCCGCCCTGCAGCTGCCACGGCCCCGACCTGCCGCTGACGCGGCCCCACCCTGCTACTGCCGCTGACGCGGCCCCGCCCTCCAGCTGTTTCGGCCCTGCTCTGCAGCCGGTTTTGCGGCCCCGACGTCGCCGCTGTCGTGCGCCTACTCGAGCGCCGGCCCTGCTCTCCCAGCCTTTGGTGAGCGCCTGCCTGCCTGCCTGACGGCCTGCCTGTCTGCCTGCCTGCCTGCCGGCCTGGCTGCCTGCCTGCCTGCCGGCCTGCCTGCCTGCCTGCCTGCCTGCCTGCGTGCCTGCCTGCCTGCCTGCCTGCCTGCCTGACGGCCTGCCTGTCTGCCTGCCTGCCTGCCGGCCTGGCTGCCTGCCTGCCTGCCGGCCTGCCGGCCTGCCTGCCTGCCTGCCTGCGCGCCTGCCTGCCTGCCTGCCTGCCTGCCTGCCTGCCTACCTGCCTGCCTGTCTGCCTGCCTGCCTGCCTGCCTGGCTGCCTGCCTGCCTGCCGGCCTGCCTGCCTGCCTGCCTGCCTGCTTGCTTGCCTGCCTGCCGCGCCTGCCTTGCCTGCGCTACTGCTACTGGCCGGTGGCCAGATGCAGCTCCAGCGACATTCACGCGAGCCTCTGACGCCCCAGCAGCTTAGTGAGTGGTATACTAGCTGGGGTTGTCGCGGTAGCCGTCGTAGCTGTCGCCCTGGAGCTGGTCAGTTGGGAGCGTCTGGCAGTGGCCAGCTGCAGCTGCAGGGACGTCCACGTGAGACACTTACGCCTCGGCAGCTCCAGGAGTGGTACGCTCAGTGTAGCAGGTCTACGCGTACAGTCCGCTGCCCGTACGTCATTCGCACAGGTGCTAGGACTGGTCAGCCTTGTGGGACGCTTGGTCACACACAGTCCCGCTGCTTCGCCCGTCTGAGCGACGACTGGCGCACAGTGTTTGGCGACGAGGCTGAGCTCCCCACCTGGCTGGAGCTGCATAGACAGAGGGTAGATATCTTTGCGCTTGACTATGATGCTATTCTCACTGCCATGTATGCATTGTCTACTAGTGCTGACCGTGCCTGTTGCCTGTGCGTACCGCCTGACCCTGGTGAGGCTGCTGCCCTAGGTGCTAGTGCGTCTCCTGCTCTAGGTGCTGGTGAGGCTGCTGCTCTCGGTGCTAGTACGTCTACTGCTCTAGGTGTTGGTGAGGCCGTGGCTTCAGGTGCTGCTGTGTCTGCTCTCTCTGGTACTGCGCCCACTGCGGTCTCGCACACCTTCACCCTTGACTCAGGAGCTTCCCGCTCCTTCTTTCGCGACTGCACCACACTCACGCCGCTCCGTCGGCCAGTCCCGGTCTCCCTGGCGGACCCCTCTGGGGGTCCGGTCCTTGCCCACTATTCCACGGTTCTGCCGTGTCCGGCCGTCCCGTCCGGCTCGCTGTCAGGTCTTTACCTCCCCTCGTTCTCTACGAACTTGGTGAGTGGAGCTGACCTCCAGGATGGGGGGGTTCACCAGTTCACTCCTGCGAGTCAGCGAGTGACTCACTGTACGTGTGCTAGGACGGGCCGGCACTTGGCCACGTTCACCCGTGCACCTGGCTCGAGTCTGTACACACTGACCACTGAGTCCCCTCCGGTAGCTGCGTCTGCGTTTGCGTCTGCGTCTGGTCAGCTGGCGGCCCCCTGCGAGTGTCGCGCTTTGTCGCACGACACTCTCCTGTGGCACCACCGCCTTGGTCACCCCTCCTTGCCTCGCCTGCGTACCATGCACTCTCGCTCCCTGGTCTCTGGTCTTCCCAGGTCCCTGCCTGCCCTCCCTCCCTCGCCTGCGCCGCCCTGCATTCCTTGCGTCGAGGGGCGGCAGCGCGCCGCTCCTCACTCCTCCTCGTTTCCTCCCACAGAGGCTCCACTGCAGACGCTCCACCTGGACGTGTGGGGCCCAGCCCGCGTCCAGGGGCAGGGCCGCGAGCGGTACTTCCTGCTGGTCGTCGACGACTACACGCGTTACACCACGGTCTTCCCCTTGCAGAGCAAGGGGGACGTCCCTGCTGTTTTGATCCCCTGGATCCGCGCTGTTCGTCTCCAGCTCCGCGAGCGGTTCCGGTCGGACTTTCCTGTCCTGCGTCTGCACTCTGACAGAGGTGGTGAGTTCTCCTCCGACCTCTTGGCAGCCTACTGTGCGGAGCACGGCATCACCCAGTCGTTCACGCTTCCGGCCTCTCCGCAACAGAATGGGGTTGCTGAGCGCCGCATTGGCTTAGTCATGGAGGTCGCTCGTACCTCCATGATCCATGCGGCTGCCCCCCATTTTCTGTGGCCGTTTGCGGTCCGGTACGCCGCACATCAGCTCAACCTCTGGCCCCGTGTCTCCTTGCCGGAGACCTCGCCCACACTGCTGTGGACGGGGAAGGTTGGCGATGCGTCGCGTTTCCGGGTCTGGGGTGCTCGTGCCTTTGTCCGCGATACCACCGCGGACAAGCTCTCTGCCCGCGCTGTTCCCTGTGTCTTCCTTGGCTTTGTCCCTGACGCGCCTGGTTGGCAGTTTTACCACCCCACCTCGCGCCGTGTCTTTGCGTCTCAGGACGTCACGTTCGACGAGTCGGTTCCCTTTTACCGTCTCTTCCCCTACCGCACTGCCTCGCTCCCCCCCCCGCCGCTCTTCCTCGCTCCAGGTGCTCCCCAGGTAGACCCCCTCCCCGCTCCCGGTCCTGCTCCTTCAGGTGTTTCTCAGGTAGACCCTCCTCCCTTTACTGCGCCGGTTGAGGTCACTGGTGACTCAGGTCCTACTGCGAGTGGTCCTGCTCGGGGTGCTGAGCCTGGGGGTGCTGAGTCTGAGGGTGCGGAGCTTGAGGGTGTAGAGCCTGGTGGTGCTGAGCCTGCGTGTGAGGGGTCTGGGGGTGCTGAGCTTGGCGGTACTGACGCTGGAGGTTCGGGAGCTACTGAGGGTGCTGGCGCTGGAGGTTCAGGAGCTGCTGGAGGGCCTAGTCCTGGTGGCGCTGGAGCTGGAGGTTCTGGAGCTGTTGAGGGTGCTCGCGCTGGAGGTTCTGGAGCCGCTGGAGGTACTGGTGCTGAGGGTACTGCCACCGAAGGTTCTGGAGCAGTTGGGGGTACGGGCGCTGAGGGTTCTGAGTCTGCTGTTGCGCGGTCTCCTTGGAGTGGCCGCCTTCGTCCCCGTGTGCCTCTCACCCCACAGCAGCTGCAGGACTGGTACGGTCGCCGTCAGCGTCGCGCTGCTGGAGCTCGGAGTCGTGCTGGAGACACTGAGGCTGGAGACCCTGGGACTGGAGGTGCTGGCTCTGGGGGTGCTGCTGCTGGAGACACTGAGGTTGGAGACCCTGGAGCTGGAGGTGCTGGTTCTGGGGGTGCTACTGCTGGAGACCCTGAGGTTGGAGACCCTGGGACTGGAGGTGCTAGTTCTGGGGGTGCTGCTGCTGGAGACACAGAGGTTGGAGACCCTGGGACTCGAGGTGTCGGCTCTGGGCCTGGAGCTTCTGGAGCTGCTGGAGGCACTGGAGCTGCTGGAGCTGCTGGTACTGGTGCAGCTGCGCCGACACGACTGTTCTTCGCTCCGCCGTCTCCGTCGTCTCTGCCGCCGTCTGCCTCTGTTCTTCGTCAGGTTCTTACTCTTCCGTCGTCTACTGGTCTTCCGTTACAGCCTGGCTCGCCGCTGCCTGCTCCTTCTCCTTACACTGAGCTGACTGGTAGTCCTGCTGAGCGTCGTGAGCCTGCGTCGCGTCCTGTCTCGCCTGCTCGTCCTGGTCGTACCGGTCGTCGTGTTCCTCGTTCGCATCCGCCGGCTGTCCCCAGCGCACACCTCGTAGTCCGTCGTCCTTCCTCTGCTCCGCAGCCTGTTCCTCTGCCGTCTCCTCCTGCGTCCTCTTTGCCTGACGTTCCGGACCCTGCGTCTGACCGGTTTCGTGCTCAGCACCCTACTGTCACGCGTCTACTAGCCACAGTTGTCACTGACCCGTCGTTTGAGTCTGCTGCTGCGTCTGCTCTTGTCGCTGAGCTTGTTGACTTTGCTGCTGCCTGTCGTCTAGACTTCACTGCCAGTCTTGTTACTGAGTCTGAGTCCGTCTGTCCTCCGTCCGTCGGGGGTGAGTGTGCTCTTAGCACGGACGTCCTTGAGGACAGGCAGGAGGAGTTCCAGTGTCTTGCTGCTGCTTTACCTCATCTTGTGTCCTCGCTACTTGCCCCTGAGGGAGACCCGGATGCACCAGACATCCCGACTCCGCGCTCTTACGCAGAGGCGATAGAGGGTCCCTACTCCTCTCAATGGCAGGCAGCCATGGATGCAGAGATGGCTTCCTGGAAGTCCACAGGCACCTACGTTGACGAGGTTCCCCCACCTGGGGCGAACATCGTCAGTGGCATGTGGATTTTCAGGGTGAAGCGGCCGCCGGGTTCTCCGCCTGTCTTCAAGGCACGTTACGTGGCTCGAGGCTTCAGTCAGCGAGAGGGAGTCGACTTCTTCCAGACCTTCTCCCCCACCCCGAAGATGACCACTCTTCGGGTGCTGCTGCACGTTGCTGCTCACCGTGACTACGAGCTTCACTCTCTTGACTTCAGCACAGCTTTCTTGCAGGGCAGCCTGCACGAGGAGATCTGGCTGCGCCGCCCCCTGGGCTTCACTGGGTCGTTCCCTCCTGGTACCCAGTGGAGCCTCCGGCGGCCGGTCTACGGTCTCCGCCAGGCGCCACGTGAGTGGCACGACACACTGAGAACTACACTTGCGGCTCTTGGGTTTGCACCTTCTACTGCTGACCCGTCGCTGTTTCTGCGCACCGACACTTCCCTGCCGCCGTTCTACATCCTCGTGTACGTCGACGACTTGGTTTTTGCCACTGCTGACACTGAGGCTCTCGCCCACGTGAAGTCGGAGCTGCAGAAGAGACACACGTGCACAGACTTGGGTGAGCTGCGCAGCTACCTTGGCTTGCAGATCACCCGAGACAGAGCACGTCGCACCATCACCTTGACTCAGTCACACATGGTGCAGCAGGTCCTTCGGCGCTTCGGCTTCACCTGGTCTTCAGCACAGGCCACTCCTCTGGCTACAGGTCACACGCTCTCAGCTCCACCTTCGGACGAGTCCGTAGAGCCGAGTGGTCCTTACCCAGAGCTAGTCGGCTGCCTCATGTACCTGATGACTTGCACTCGACCTGACCTCGCGTACCCTCTTGGTCTCCTGGCTCGCTACGTGGCTCCTGGTCGGCACCGACCTGAGCACATGGCTGCTGCTAAGAGGGTACTGCGTTACTTGTGCAGCACATCAGGCATGGGGCTAGTGCTTGGAGGGACGAGCCCAGTTGTCCTCACTGGGCACTCAGACGCTTCTTGGGTTGACGACCTGGCTATTCAGTGGTCGTCACAGGGTTACACCTTCAGCATTGGCTCTGGTTCAGTTTCGTGGCGTTCTACACGCTCGTCTTCAGTTCTCGGCTCCAGTTGTGAGGCTGAGATCTACGCCACCGCCATGGCTGCACAGGAGTTACGCTGGCTCACCTACCTGCTGACTGACTTGGGAGAGCAGCCTCGTTCTCCTCCAGTGCTGTACGTCGACAACAAGGCCGCCATTGCCTTGTGTCAGGAGCACAGACTGGAGCACAGAACGAAGCACATTGCTCTGCGTTACTTCCTGGCTCGAGAGTTGCAGCAGCGAGGCCAGCTTTGTCTTCGTTACGTGGCCACTCGGGCCAACACTGCTGATATATTCACCAAGGCACTTCCGTCTGGTGATCATCAGCGCTTTTGTACTCTGTTGGGCCTTGTGCCTACGCTTCCACACTTGCTGTAGTTTCTGCTTGTACTGTGATCTATATATATACATGCATGCCCTCTCTTGCTAGGTAGTCATCACTGTACTGTTATTGTTGCATATATATCTCTGCATGTGGACTGGCCTTGTGGCCCTTTGCTTGTGCTCAGAATGTGTGGTGACGTTGAGATCCACCCTGAGCTTGCTTTGCTTCTCTTGACTGGTCGTTTGACCCCTTGTTCTCCCCCACTTTGCCTATGGGGGTGTGTCAAACATATGTGCTGCATATTGTCTAGGCTGTAGTGGGGTAGCCCACATGGGGTACAGCCAGGGCTGACTATTGAAATAAAACCACTCTGATTGTTTTAGCCCCCCAAAAAAAATTAGTCTGAGGCCCATTTCCCAAAACATGAGCACTCTGATTTCTCAGGAACCAGAGAAAAATAACTCTGAAATTTTTAAAATTCGGAGACTACCATTACACTAAGACAGGTTTTTCTACTAACGGGTCTTTTGCAAAAGTTCCGAGGGATGGGTTTCCCTCGAAGCAACAGGAATGGGGTAGGCGAGTTCGTACTCTGTAGTAAGAAAACGCATTATCCGGTAAGCAAGTACTCTGAAATTTTCAGTATTGAAAAAAACATTAGTTTGAAGCACTCATTTTTCAAAATCAGCCAACTCTGAAAAATCAGGAACGACAGGAAAATAGTCTGAAATTTCAGACAATCAGACTAAAATAGTCTGATATCGTCAGCCCTGGGTACAGCCCAATTAGGGTTTACTACTTGTACTCCTGCATGCTGCTAGTTCATTCATTCCTGCTGCTAGATTCTGACATATACCTTGCCTTGCCCACCTTTCCCCAGTACGCCCCTAGGGTGCGAAACTTCTGTACAGCCAAACAAACCAAACCTTAGCTGAAAACACTTGTCATTGATGTTTTCAAAACATGAAGTCTACTGTACTGTAATCCCCCTTGTACCGGTACATTACCCACCAGAAAAAGGGTGTTTCGACCAGGTAAATGATCTTGGGTGCTTGATGCCCCTCACCTTGGCTGTGGGGGTGTGGCAAAATATATTTGTGATATTGTTAGGCTTGTTAGGCTACAGTGAGGTACATTGTGGAGAGTATAACCCTTTCTATGGTTTCCTATTTGTACTCATCACCTACGGTACTAGTGAACTTCATGCCGCTTGCACAAGTTCAGACAGACATGTTACTCCTTTAAAAGAGGCGCCTGAGGTTGCTGATGCTTTGGAGGCTGAACGGACGAGCGTTTAACAAGTAGTGGCGAGGCGTGGGCGGAGAGAGGGTCAGAGCCAGGGGAAGGGAATGAGTTTGGCGATGGAGGAGAAGGGGGCGAGGAAGTTGTTGGGGTAATACATGGCGACCTGCGCAGGGTCACTCACGATACCCGGGAGAGCCCATGCAATGCGCGGCCCCACAGACCCTGGCCCACTGTTGCCGTACTCAATGAACGTGGAAGTGTTGTATACTGTACCCACCCAGTCGAGCCAGCCACTCGTATTCACCTGAGGGGAGGGGTGGGCAAGCAAAAGGCAAGTGCAGTGCGGGGATGAGGGTGGGTGAGGCCATGCAAAGTCAGCAGCACTGCTGAAAACGAAGAAATGACAGGAGAGAAGGACTTACCACATTACTGATTTTTGTGTTGATGACAGCCACTCTCGCGTAGGGTTTCCAGGGACGGCCAAGGTATGCCTTGTTGACAAGGTTGCCCTGAATGACGGAGTTGAGGATAACGATGCCGGTGTTCTCCGTGTAGTTGGTTCGCCCCGACGCCGTGAGCGCCACACCCGCGTATGGCAGGATGTGGAACGTGCAGTTGTCCAGGACGGTCGCACCGTTGCCAAACACAAAATCCACTGACCCCTGCACGTAGCAGTTGCGGTAGTACTGGCGCCCCACGTGCACATACAGAGTGTCCTGCGACCCGATGAACTCGCACTCATAGAAGGCCGCATTTTCGCCCGACTGCCTGAACGCCACCGCTTGGTTCCCAGCCCTACCTGCCGTGTTCTCAAAGCGAATGCCGATGGCCACAAATCCAGTCCCGGCCACAGCTGAGGGGATTAGAGAGGGAGAGACGGAGAGAGAAATATTGAAGTATCTGTCTTAGAGGTATGTGACATTTCCCTCCCAGGCACTTCCCTCCCAGCCTCTTCCCTCCCACCACTAAACTCTGGGAGGGAAGAGGTTTGGAGGGAAATGTCTAAGTACCTATCTCTCTCTCGCTCTCTCAGTCGCCAAAGATTTGTCACCCATGCGAACGTGGGGCGAAGAGAGCACAGCAGAGGGAAGATGGAGATAGAGGTAGAAGAAGCGCAAACACAAGCGTGCAGAGCAACCGGCAGCGGCAGGGAGGAGAGGAGCGAGGGCGCATGGGCCGCTGCTTACCAACAGTGGCGGACTGGAAGGTGTTAACGCCGGCAGTGGCGTTGTCGTTCCAGGAGATTACAGTGGATGCAGCAGCGAGCCCCAGCAGCGTGACGTTCTTGCACGTTGAGTTGATGGCCACCTTCTCGTGATAGAAGCCCGGCTGGATGAACACCACGTAGCGCCCGCTGAACCCCACCGGGTACGCCCTGATCGCCTCCTGTTCGAACCAGGGGATGCACAGAGTGCACACAAGGCACACACGGAACTGTGAGGGCGAGGCCAGCCCACAAGGGATGTGAGGGCGAACTCCCCTTTGCTGTAAGGAAGTGCACGCACTCACACATTCTCTCTCGCACGCACCTGCACGGTGAAAAAGTTCCCGGAACCATCCTGTGCCACGGTGACTGTGGGGGTGATGCGCGGAGGGGGCCGTCGGGAAGGGGGCGGTGGAGGGGCGTGCGGGGATGGGGGCGGAGATGGGGGCGGGGAAGGGGGCAGAAAAGGGGGAGGGGAGGGAGGGAGAGGAGGAGGGGAGGGAGGTGGAGGAGGAGGGGAGGGAGGTGGAGGAGGGGAGGGAGGTGGAGGAGGAGGGGAGGGAGGTGGAGGAGGTGAGGGAGGAGGGAGAGGGAGGTGGAGGGGGAGATGGAGGAGGTGACGGAGGGGGAGGAGAAGGGGGAGGAGGGGAAGGAGGGGGGGGCGAAGGTGGAGGGGAAGGAGGAGGGGAAGGATCCGGCAGCAGCCCGCAAGGCGGATCGGTGGCGGTGGCCTTGCTGATGCCAGGAGTGGTGTGGAGGATGGTGCTATGGGGGTCGGCGTGCGTGACGGCAGTGGCTGTGCGTGCACCCGTGGCGGTGGGGCCATCATGAGCCCTGCCCGCACTGACTCCTTGCAGTACGCGCTGGTGCGGGTGACGGTGGCGGCGCCAGGAGTGATGCCAGGAATCCCAGAAGTGTCGGAGGCGGGGATGGGGTTGTCGCAGTTGCCCACCCTGATAACATTGCCCGTACCTGCCTGCACTCACAGCCTGTTGCGCGCCGTGGCGAGTGAGCTGAGTGGAGTTGAGTTTGTGGGCGGCGCCTTTGCCAGTGCCGGGAGTGTTGGGAGTGCCGGTGTGGGGGATGGAGTTATGCGGGTTGGTCAACGTGATGGCACTGGCTGTGCCTGCACCCTTGACGGTGGGGTCCGCACCACCGCTGGTCGCGCCGGCGGCTTGCAGCAGGCGGCGGCGAGTGGGCGAGGGCGAAGGCACGGCGGCGGCAGCAGCGCTGTCGTGGTGTGCTGCGATCATGGCGGCCATGTCCGCTGCTCGCCCCAGCGCCTCCATCACCTGCGCGCGCGCATCCATCGCTGCTCTCTGCACGTACCAACACACATGCCGCCGCCAAACCCGCGTGCAACACCATGAGCACCCCACGAACGCTGGAGAAGGCAAGTCCCTCAATAGGAATACTTTCCAAAGCACGGCAATGTGGGCAACGTATGGTGGCGAGAAGCGAGCAGGGAGCGCGAGATCAGCGCCATGCCATGCCATGCCATGCCATGCCATGCCATGCCATGCCATGCCATGCCATGCCATGCCATGCCATCCCATGCCATGCCATGGCTGCTTCATTCCACGGCGGTCATGCCATGCGCACCGAGCAGCAGCAGGGGGCGGGGAGGCGCGCACATCGCGGAAAAGGTTTTTGGCCCGAGTATCCGAAAACGGGGTATTCGTCCAAAAAGTTGTGGGAATGTGTCCGCATGTATACCCCGTGCCCATGCCCATGCCCATGCCCATGCCCATGCCATGGCATGCCATGGCTGCTTCATGCCACGGCGTCAACATGCCATGCGCACCGAGCAGCAGCAGGGGGCGGGGAGGCGCGCACCTGCAGGGCGTTGACGCGCGGGTCGCGGGAGCTGCCCGGCGCGAAGAGGTCGAAGCCCTCGGCGCAGTCGAGCGCGAGCGTTGTGGCGCTGGAGAGGAGGATGCGCGGCAGGTTCACGTCCTCGCCGCCGCTCGCCATCATCCCCGCCGCCGCCTCCATGCTCTCCGCCGCCAACGCCATCTGCTGCGCATCACGCCACCCACACACGCGTCCATCAGGGCGCACGGGTCACAACAGTTCACGAGGGCATCAGCATGACAATACTACAATGCCTCGTTGCCATTCTTGTACGTGCGCAGCCTTTAGTCTAGACTATGAAGACTATTTAGAGTCTTAGTAGTATGCATAAGAAGCTCTGGCTTCAATTGTGTGAAAAATTTTGCTGGAAAACATCAAGGCAGAAAGTTGAAGTGATTTCATTGAAGAAGGCATACAAAAACAGAAAACACAAAGCAAGTTATAAGCACAAGATTTCTGATTTCGCCCTCGCGCCGCGCCTAATATCGAGCTGAGTTGTACTCGGCTCAATTTCCAAATCCAACGATGCATTGAACGCGCCTCGAGTTCGAATTTCAGACTTCCTTGGACGCGCCTTTGACCCGGCGTGACTTCTCTTCCCGTCGCTTGAAATCTCGCCATTTCCACCGTGTTCTTCTCCACTTTTGCACGCTTCCCCCTCTTCTCTTCATTTCCCATCGCAGGTCTAGTCTCTGCCTTGTTTCTCCTTCCACCGCCCCAACACAAGTAGCTTATCTTCTTCTTAGGTCCTCGACTTCCCTTAGTCTCATCTCGTCAGGGTAGGTCCTTCATAGGTCGATGTAGGTCGCTCTAGGTCGTGGTTAGCTAACCACCTTCAACAATCTCCCCTGTGGTTTGCTAACCACCAGCCTATGCATTCTCCCACGCACATTTCACCTTGAAACACCACTAGGCTTGCACCACACTCCCCTGCAATTCAGCCAAGGTACGCATCCCAACCTCTCTCTTGCAACGCTCAAAATTTGCCCTTGGTAACACCTTAGTCAGAAAATCTGCTGCTTGTGCCTCCGTACGTACGAATTCAAACTTGAACTCCTTGCTACTCACCTTTGAACGCACCCAATGATACTTCACATCCATATGCTTGGTCCTCCCGTGCCAATTGTCGTTGTGAGCCAAGTCGATGGCAGATTTGCTATCCGTGCGTATCACCGTCAGCCCTTCCACCTTGATTTCCATCTCCTTGAGTAGCCGTCTCAGCCAAACCCCCTCTTGGCATGCGTAAAACAGAGCCATGTACTCCGCTTCCGCACTAGAGAGCGCTATGTCACTCAACTTTTTCGCTTGCCACATGATTGCTGTCCCGCCGAGCAAGAACACGTAACCGTATGCTCCCTTCCTTGTTTGCCTGTCGGATGCGTGTGAAGCATCCGCATACCCCACTAACTCCAAGGTCTCTTCACCCCCTTCAAATAACAGCCCCTCATCTTCATGTTGCAGTAGGTAGTCGATAGTCCTCCTCATCTCTCTCCATTTTCTCTCCCCTTGCTGCTGCACTTGTTGCCCAAGATAGCTAGCTGCGTATGCCATGTCAACGCGCGTGCATGAGACCGGATACATGATAGACCCCACCATGGACTGATATACTTGCCGAGCTCTCTCCTTGCTGCCCCATTGGTTGACATCCTCCTCTCGTTCACTGTCGCTTTCAGCTACCCCACTCAACGGTGTAGAAATTGCCTTCGTGTAGCCGTTGCCAAACTTCTGCTGCACCCTGCTGCAATATTTCTGCTGGTATAGGAACATCTTCTTCTCCTCCTTACGCCGCTCCAGATTCATGCCGAGAAAGAGTGTGGTCCTCGGAATCTGCTTGACTTGAAAAACTTCCGCAAGGTGAGTGCACACCTTCTCTACCTCCTCCTCTAACGCCCCTGCCACCAAGATGTCGTCCACGTATAGCACCAGGAACACTTTCTCCTTCCCTTCTCCCTTCCAGTAGAATGCCCTATCACACTCGCTTTTCTGAAATCCCCCTTGCATTAGCCGCTCATCCATCGCCATATACCACTCCCTAGGGCTCTGCTTCAGCCCATATAATGCCTTGTTGAGCTTGCATTTTCTGCCCGAGCCGTCGTCATGCCCTGGTGGCTGCTCAAGGTATATGTCCTCCTTGAGCACCCCATACAAAAATGCATTTTTGATGTCCAGCTGCACCATGAAGTATTTCCTTGGTGCTACCACCTTGAGAAAGACCCGCGCCGTTGCCAACTTGCTCACTGGAGCGTAGATCTCATTTTGTTGGTAATCTTTCCCCTCCACCTGAGTGTAGCCCTTGGCTACAAGCCTTGCTTTGAACCTTTCCAGCTGCCCCATATCTCCGGTCTTGATTTTAAAAATCCACTTCACCCCCACGGCTTTCCTCCCTTCCGGCATGGGTACGAGCTCCCATGTGCCCCTTTCAGCCAATGTGTTCAACTCCTCCTCAATAGCCACTTTCCACTGCTCCCTTTCTGGACCCTCTAGCGCCTCCTCGATGCTCACTGGTTCTTTGGGCAGGTTGTGACTCACTTTCCCTTCATTGGAGACTAGGTCAGTTGCTGTGGCAGAGAGTAGGAGATGGGTATGGATGTCCTTCCAGCACGTCATCAGCAGTTGCGCATACCGAGGGTTTGGTTTCTTCACCCTCTTTCCTTTCCCCAACTCCTCTGCAGGTGATTCAACCTCTTCCTCACTGGAATCCGCCAATGCTTTCCCTTCTCCATCCTTTACTTCCCTTCCAATCACGATGGCGCCCTCCTCAAGTAAGTCCTCTATCTCCTTCTCTGCTGCCTGGTTGTCACCACTCTTTAGGAGCTTCCAGGGATCGCTATTTCCTTCAGCTGCTGATTCTTCATCTCTCTCTTCTCTAGCCACTTCATCGTTGACACCCTCAGCTACTTCCTTGCTTGGCTGCTCCCCTGCTATCTCCACTCCCTGACTTTCATCTGCTTCCCTGGTTGGTGCCTTCTCCCATACGCAATCAACTAAATCTGCCTGTTCCACATCTTCGATCTCCTCATCTCCTTCATCACCAACTCCCTCACTTTCCTTTTCTTCCAAAAGTTCTCCCACCTTGCCCGGTGCAGTTGCTGTCCCTGCTGCTGCAATCCCTTTCTCTACTCCCTTCCACTGCAGGTAGTTCACCTCCTCGTAGAAGACAACATCCCGGGTGATTGTGACCTTCCCCGAAACCACATCCTTGATCACCCACCCCTTGCTCACTGGGCAGGTACCAAGATTGATCCCCCAATGAGCCTTGGGCAGCAACTTATGATCCGGACCAGCAGGCTCCCTGTATTGTACCATACTCCCCCACACCCGTGCAAGCCCCAGATTCGGCTTCCTCCCATAGAATGCCTCGTGGGGGGTCATATCCGCCCGAAGTCCCTTGGTAGGTAGGCGGTTCTTGGACCAGCAAGCCATTGCCAAAGCATCACCCCAAAAGTTCTGTGGCAGCCCACCGTCGGCCAGCAGGCTCCTCACACTGTCTAGAAGAGACCGGTTCACCCGCTCCGCTATGCTGTTATGCTGTGGAGTGTAGGGTACAGTCAGCTGCCGTCGGATGCCCTTGCTCTGTAGAAACTTGTTGAACAGGTCCCCGGTAAACTCCCCACCATTATCTGTCCTCAAAACTTTCAGCACCTTCCCACTTTGCCGCTATGCTTCCGCCATCCAAGTCACGAAACTAGGAAACACCTCTGCCTTATCTTTCAGCTCCGTCACCCATGTGTGCCTTGTCCCCAAATCTGTGAAGGTAACGAAGTAGCGGCTGCCGTGTCGTGATGCCACCCTCATAGGCCCACACACATCGGCTGCTACGATGTCCAAGGTGCCATAAGGCTCCTGCACCTGGTGGTGGGGGTGTGGGGATTTTGTGATTTTACCTTCAACACACTTGCTGCATTTTCCCTTGCTTCCAGCCCCCTCCTTCAGTGCCACACCTTTTACCATGCCCTTTTTAACCAACTCCTTGATCCTATCCATGCTTGCATGCCCCATGCGCCTGTGCAAGGTCTCCAACTCGACCTTCTCCACCCCAACCACCATGGCTGAAGCTTCCTGCTGCAGCTCCTTCACAGGTAAGCCACCAAGCCGAGCCTTCAACTCCTCCCTAGCTAGGTCCCCTTCGAGTGGAGTCATGTAGGTGGCATTCTCTGCCTCGAGCCCCTTCTTCCTCAGCTTCATCTCATACAATCCCTGATTTCTGTTCCCTTCTGCAACCACCTTCCAATCCTCATCAAAGACCCACAGCTTCCCCTTGTTGCTGAAGGTTTTGCACCCCGTGCTGTCAAGTTGTGACTGGCTGATCAGATTCAGTGAGAGCTTCTCCACTAAGAGCACATTTTCCAGCTTCAGCTCCCCGTACTCTCCCTGGAGCAGCAACTCTCCTTCTCCCTTCACACTCAGTTTTCCTTCATCACCCAACAGCACATAGGGTACGTTGGAGTCCTGCAGATTTGTAAGCCACTCACGGTGATTGGTCATATGCTGAGTGCAGCCACTATCCATGAACCACGCAGCTTCACCAAACCCCTTTGCCATCAAACACACTCCCGATGCCCTAGCCACGTTTGCCTTGTGAGCTCCTCCCAAAATAACGTCCGCTTCACTGTTTTCAGCTTCCACTGCATTTGCTTTTGCTGCTGCTGGTTGGTTTTGCTGCTGGTTTGCCCCTCGGTAGTTCCTGCTGTTGGGGTTCGAGTAGCAGTTGGCTGCCCTATGCCCAATTTTCTGGCAATAGTGACATGCCCCTGAAAATCCGCCTCTCTGCACCTTGTTATCGCCTCGAAACTCCCCCTCTTTCTGCTGCCCTCCATTTTGCAGACCCTTCTGCTGCGGACCGCTCCACTTTCCCTTAAAATTTCTGCTCCTCGGATTGTCATAGCAGTCTATCTGCTTATGACCCTTCTTCCCACACTGAAAGCACGCCCCAAAACCTCCGTATCCTTTCCCTGTCGCTGCTGCGTTTACCATAGCATGGGTGGCTGGTCCCATTCCGTTCAAGCTAGTCTCCTTCCTGAGCCGATCAGCCTTCACCCGCTCCAAAGCTTGGAGCGTCTCCAACAGCTTGGTCATATTTGCAGGTGGGTTGCAGGTTAGGAGCCCTATCTCTGCTTCCCACTCCTTGGGCAGCCCAGTAA